TATATATATATATATATATATATATATATATATATATATATATATATATATATATATATATTTATATATATATATATATATATATATATATATATATATATATATATATATATATATATATATATATATATATATATATATATATATATATATATATATATATATATATATATATATATATATATATATATATATATATATATATATATATATATATATATATATATATATATATATATATATATATATATATATATATATATATATATATATATATATATATATATATATATATATATATATATATATATATATATATATATATATATATATATATATATATATATATATATATATATATATATATATATATATATATATATATATATATATATATATATATATATATATATATATATATATATATATATATATATATATATATATATATATATATATATATATATATATATATATATATAATTTTTTTTATTATTTTATTTCATTTCATTTCATTTCATTTCATTTCATTTCATTTCATTTCATTTTATTTTATTTTATTTTATTTTATTTTATTTTATTTTATTTTATTTTCAACTTGCTAAAGAACAAACCACTGCTGTTGCCAAATTTACCAAATTGGCCCAATTAACCTAATTAAATCTTTACTTAACACTTGCATTATACTTTATTTTTTCTTTTTGAAGTGTATATACAGACATTGGATACCAGCCACTTTTAAAAGACGATGTTTGCAGGTCATTAAAAAAAGTCACAAATTCGGAAGTAAACACCAAGATCTGCAGTGTAAATTCAGCCTACGATTACATTGCATGATATTCAAATTCATGCAATGATCTTCTGACCAATGCAAATGATCCCAGTCTGCTTCAAAAATGCTCCCTTGCATTCATTCTTCATGTTCACCCTCTTTTAAAATAGCTTCTGTTTTGTATCCCCAAACCACACTGATTCATTCCTGCTTGGTAATTCTAGGTGTTTCAAGGATGTGGTCATCCCAAAGCAGCCAGTGTAGGCCGATCTGCCCGCGGGATCTCGGATGTGTTCAACAGCCGCTTCAAACCCTTCAACAGCCCAGAAGAACGACCCACCACGGCAGCGGGCACCAGCCTGGACAGACTGGTGAGTGGGTGGCATGAGGGCAGAGCGGGCGGGCAGGCGGGTTGGCAAGCAGCGTGGGAAGGCATGAGTGGGCAAGGATGACCTTTAGATTTCAGACCCAGGAGAATGCAGAAGTCACTGGGCAGCATATTGGTGGTGATGCAGAAAGGTTTTTTTTTATAGGGTTAAAAACACAGCTAAAGTCAGAATTATTAGCCCTCCTGTTTATTTTCCCTTAATTTCTGTTTAATGGAAAGACATTTTTAAGTATATTGGTTTTAATATCTGATTTTGTTCTAGCCGAAATAAAACAAATCAGACTTTCTCTAGAAGAAAAAATATTATCAGACATACTGTTAAAAATTCCTGAATCTGTTCAACATCATTTGGGGAATATTTGAAAAAGACAAAAAACTTCATAGAAGCCCTAATATTTCTGACTTCAGCTGTAGCTGCAATGCCTAGTCTGCAAGGTCATTCCTATAGTTTGCTGGATTTTGGACTGAGCGGACGGAAATCTTTAGAATTGAATGATTTATGAGTCGTGGAGAAAAACACAGAGGTGAAGCTCAGGCTGGCAAAACCCAATAATTTGAAACAAATGTTTCACATGTGGAAATTTGTTCACCTTGTTACATTATGTTTTGACAGTTCGCTATGCGGATGTTTTAAGGCTGTGAAGACTATTGGCTAGGAAACAACTCGAAATCTTAATTAAATAATATTTTTTTCAAGTTTAACATGCACCTCATTAGCAATAAATAAATATGAATTTTAACATATTTGGTGCCAAAGAAAATAATAATATTGAAGATTTCCAAATAAGAACATTGTTTCTTCAAAATTCATGAGGAAAGGTACATTTTTATTTGTGTATGTATTTATTTGCAATTCACAACAACAAACATTTTATTATTTATTTATTTATTTATTTATTTATTTATTTATTTATTTATTTATTTATTTATTTATTTATTTATTTATTTATTTATTTATTGTCGTTTTTTATAACTCATTTTTTATATAAAATATAAAATAATAACTATAAAATATAAAATAGTTTTTATAACTAATATTATTATTTTAAAGACTATTAATATTCTTCTTTTTATTATTATTATTTATGTTATTATTATTATTATTATAATCATCATCATCATCATCATCATCATCATTACTATTATTATTATTAGTAGTATTATTATTATTGATATAGTTGTTATTATTATTATTATTATTATTATTATTATTATTATTATTATTATTATTATTATTATTATTTATGTTACTATTAAAATAATTATTGTTGTTATTATTTTTATTGTTATAATTATTATTTTAGTTTTTTATATATTTATAAATATTATTAATATTCTTCTTTTTATTTTTTTAACTATTATTATTATTATTATCATCATCATCATCATCATCATCATCATCATCATTATTATTATTATTATTATTATTATTATTATTATTATTATTATTATTATTATTATGTTTATTGGTAACATTTTTGTTATTATCATTATTATTGATGTTATTATTATTAAACTGATTATTTTTGTTATTTTTATTATTATTGATGTTATCGTCATCTCTATGTTTAGGCTAATCTTAAAGAAGTGTCTAAATATACTTGAGTTAATCTACTGGAAGAGAGGATTCTGACTCATATGTAACAAGAACAGATGAAACTATGAATTTGACTTAAAAGTAGAACAAGATTTCATTTGTGCATAATCTTATTTTATCCTCCAGCTAACTCTGAGAATTCATTTCAAATGACTTTCTCTCCAACACATGCTTTTTTTTCCACTTAGCTGTGCATCGGATGAGTTTAAAGCTAACCCTCGAATACATTATAGAGAGATGTGATGGTTAAACAAATGTTGGTTTGTCTGTATGCACTTTAAAAATATATAATATTATTGTTATTATTTTCCAGAGACTGAAGGGAATGGGATGGAATATCTTAGCAATGCCATTCATCAAATGTAATCGTGCATATTGCGTTTTTATCTAATGCATATTTATCATGTGTTTGCCCGTGGTTTGCCTTCTCACTTTCTTATCTCCACTTTCAATGAAACCCTTTTTTTGCTCTTTTTTTTGCTTCCGTATCCCAGAGGATTGTCTGGAGGACGATGCAACACAGCGTAAGCCGTCCAAAACTCCTCTCATTTTTCCTCCATCATTTGTCTTGTGTCTTCTCTCCATCTTTCCCTCCTCTCCTTTATCCGCTTCTCTCCTTTCTCTGGCTTCTTCTTCAGTAGTTTATCTGTGCCGCTGAGATTTAGGAAGTTGTTTATGCAAGAGTCATGATCATTTACTCACCCTCATGTAGTTTCAGGCATGTGTGACTTCCTTCCTGCCATCAGACAAAAAGGCCTATTTAAATGTGTTAGAGGGTCCTATTATGATTTCCACTTTTTGATCTCTGTGTAGTTTGTATGTTTGGGGATAAAAAGACATGCACATGTCAAACTTCACTCTAATGGGAGATATTTTGTCTTTAAAAAGTATTTTTCTAGGACTACAATGAACGGCTCGTTTGGACTGCAGTGTTGTTTTCCGAGCTTTGTGATGTCACAAAAGCTGAAGTTGATCTAAAGTTTGAAATAATATTATGCATATGTTGATAGAAAAACAATTGTATTTATTTCTGAGAGTGAAAAATAGTTTTAGATGGATCGATGGATCGATCGGACGGACGGACGGACGGACGGACGGACGGACAGACAGACAGACAGACAGACAGAGAGACAGACAGATAGATAGATAGATAGATAGATAGATAGATAGATAGATAGATAGATAGATAGATAGATAGATAGATAGATAGATAGATAGATAGATAGATAGATAGATAGATAGATAGATAGATAGATAGATAGATAGATAGATAGATAGATAGATAGATAGATAGATAGATAGATAGATAGATAGATAGATAGATAGATAGATAGATAGATAGATAGATAGATAGATAGATAGATAGATAGATAGATATAGATAGATAGATAGATAGATAGATAGATAGATAGATAGATAGATAGATAGATAGATAGATAGATAGATAGATAGATAGATAGATAGATGGAGATAGATAGATAGATAGATAGATAGATAGATAGATAGATAGATAGATAGATAGATAGATAGATAGATAGATAGATAGATAGATAGATAGATAGATAAAAAGATGGATGGATAGATAGATAGATAGATAGATAGATAGATAGATAGATAGATAGATAGATAGATAGATAGATAGATAGATAGATAGATAGATAGATAGATATAGATAGATAGATAGATAGATAGATAGATAGATAGATAGATAGATAGATAGATAGATAGATAGATAGATAGATAGATAGATAGATAGATAGATAGATAGATTAAACTAAACTGTAGATATATTTCACTTCATTTTGCCTTGAACATTTTTTTATAAAATATCTTTCCCTAACATATACATTTGGCCGTACTAAATTTTGCATCATTATCGTAAGTTTTTATTATTAGACATCTCCAGTTTTAGCTTTGGTACTGTCTAATCTATTCCATATCCACAAATATATTATTGTACAATGTCCTATGCAAATGTGTTTGTGTGTAATATCTGGCCACAAAGCGCTCAAGCTCAGTTTGCTCAGTGGAGATTTTGTACCAGTTGCATCCTTGGAAAATAGGGTTTGCTAAATGACAAATAGCCTCATATATCTGAAGCTGAAAGCGAAATGAACAGCTAGTTGAAATTGTCCGCACAGAAGTAAAGGCTTGGGTGAGAGTCGTTGTGCTGTTCTTCTTTAACGCTGTTTCTCAGAACACAGAAGATCTGAAGTGGCAGCAAATTACAGCCAGTGCCAACGCAGCTAATTCAACACTGTAGAGCATCTGTAGAGGACACATACACTCCAAATGTACAGCCAAACACATAGAGAGAGAGGAAATGAGAGCGAGATTCAATTTAGAAAGTGTTATTTACATTTAGACTGTTTTTTACTGTTTATTTTACAGTAATGCGGGCTTAAAGACACCGTGAAAAATTACTACCTCTTAAGACTGCTTGATATAACCTGGGCAAACTGGCTAGCTAAATTATGCTTAAAAAGCATTGTTAACATTCCCATTGTTTTATAAATGGTATTTATGAATGTTTTTTTTTATGTGAAATGACTTAAAAAACACGTAATTACACAATAATTTACATTTAGTAGAAAGAACATTGCAATTTCATTTAAAATATATATTACATAGTATTGAATGATTGATATATGAAGCCTTTATTTGTCACATACACTGTTACATGTAGCGAAATTGGACCCCTCCGACCACACACAAACAGGTCAGACAAGAGGTAGGAAATAAGATACATTAGGGGAAAAGGAGGTGAAAAAATCCCTTCCCAGACTGTCCTTAAAATAGGACAGTGTGAGATAGCAAGCAGCAAGCATAAACACATAGACATAACATCGCAACAGGGGATGTGGAGATAGTCCAATCTAAGTTACACCCATCTTGACCTGTAGCTGAAAAGCGCTGATCACAGACCTACCTACCCACACTGGGGCATAAAAGCACCCAAAGGCGTAGTATGAGTACTAACATGCGACTAAAACCTTTAAAAGTGCAGTGACGTGCTTTGAATTGTGCAGTGTTTAATCAATGTTTGACGTAATCTCAACTGAAAGATGAGGAGATGGTGGGACATAATGTAGCTCCTCCCATTTTTAAAAATAGCCAATAGCGTTTTATCACAGCTCTGCCAGTGAGAGTGATCAATCAAATTAAAAGCAAATGAGAAGAAGGGGCGGGGCATTCCAGATCCAAGAGAACATTTGATTGGTCAGAAGATTTGATGAGAAACTGACATATGAGGTGACGTGAAAAAAAAATAAGATAAAATACCCATTTAGGTGGAAATAGCATGGTTATATAAGTAATATATCCTCACACACTGGCTTTTAGATATACTTAAAGGTCTCATGAAGTTAAAATAAAGTTCTTTAGAT